GACTTGTTTTGATTTCCGGAGCCATTTTCCCGCCCTATCTCTGCCATCGGCTCATTTCCTGTGTAACAGCCCCATTTCCTGTCTCTGTGGAGCACAATCAGAGAGATAACACAAGCGCCACACTAAATCACCTTTTTCTGCTTGTTTCTCTTTCTATTCCTGGTCTCTGCACGTCTCCGTCCTCCTCCGCTGTTTCTCTCTGCGTCCTGCTCTCTGCCCTTTCATTCATATCCAATTGTGAAGTTTTTTAGCCACTTGGAGGTCATCAAACGTTTGTGTGACAAATGAAAAATGAGTTCTGTGTTATCTCCTTCACTCGTGTCCTCTCCGTGTGTTCATCCTTGGCGTTTTGACCCATAGGTTTCCTCAGAGAGCTGGGAACAACACAACCTGATGCATATTCCCAGACGTAAGCATAATTCTTTGATTTGATTATTTTTTTCTTGGTATTCCTGCAGAACAAATAAAAACATTTTCCTCCTTCCTCCTTCCCTCCCTCCCCTCCCCTCCCCTGCTCCCATTGTTCCTCTCCCAGTGAAAAAGAGAGAAGTTCTGGCTCAGAACAATAAGCGCTTCCTCCTGCGCGGTGGCGTGCTCGACGGCGGCCGAGGAATCGATGTGGAGCACATGTGATGGGCTATTGTACGGCGCTGAGCTCAGGCCTTCCTGCGTTAGCCTGTTTCCCAGCTGAAGTCATTGTGTGACCCTGAGCTGCATCTCTGTCTGTGGACAGGAAACACTCGTATTACACACTGATGTTCTCACATGGGTAAAGTACACACACGCATGCCAACACTGCCTCCTACAAATACTGGTTACATGCATCTAAACAAAAACCTTTGGTGGGAAACATGATCTGTGACTGGATCATGCTCAGAGGCAACGTGTGCTTTGAATGAATGAAGCTACTTTCATGATCAGCAGTTAAATGATGCTGGAGTCACCACAGGTGGATGTTGTTTGTTGTCTGTGAAAGTTTTACTGATGCATTCAGTGTGTTTGTAACTTGCCAAATAATGAGAGACTTTTATTTAAAGGTGGTGAAGTAGAGGAAACCCCCAGCGTCTGAACTCCGGGGCTGATGGGAAGGAGCGAGGCTGGAGATCTGATGATTGAGGCAAGAACCGAAAAACACCTGAAGTCAGCTGATGATGAGAAGTCAGGTGAGAGAGCCAGAGAGGATTGTGAATGAATGAGGCGTGAAGATTGAACTCATGCTGAGTTTCATGAATTAACAACAACAGTTTCTCACGATGTAAATATGAAACATGATCCTGTCGCAATTATGTTTCCTCCAAATCCTCCCCGCAACAAACATGTGATCGATGGTCGGAGGTAAAATGGCACAAGCCAATCAAAACAAAGCACTTGTGAAAAGACAAACAGAGAATTTTAAATAGAGAAAAAGAAAAACATAAGATTCCTCAAATCAAAAACTGAAGCTGAGGTTTATACGAACCAGTGAATTATACAGACGGTGACAAGCTGAAGGAGAAACCTGAGAAATGAGCAGAGAAGCAGGATGAGTCCCGCTGGGTGGGAGGGGTCACTGATGGTTTAATGAGTCACCTGACCTCAGTCCACCTGGGAAACTGCGTCCAGCTGCGGCGTGTTCTCGCCCACACGGGTCCGACTCTGCAGAAACGTGCTGCTCTGCGTCCAACGACAGATCTGTTGAACTGACGACATTTACAGCTGCTGCAGAACACGTTCTCAATCAATCAATCAATCAATCAATCAATCAATCAATCAATCAATCAATCAATCAATCAATCAATCAATCAATCAATCAATCAGACTTTATTTGTATAGCACTTTTCATACAAACAATGTAACACAAAGTGCTTTATAGAATAAAAGCAAAAAAAAAAACAACCTCCCCCCTTCCCCTCACACACACACACACACACACACACACTCACACACACACACACACACACAGACACACACACTCACACACACACAGAGAAGAATAAATGACCAAGAAATAAATAAAAACCATAAAAATAAGACAATAATAACAGGAAGTGAGGGAACACTACAAGATTTATTAAAGTGAGTAAAACCAGAAATAACAGTAGTGTATTAAATGGAAAATAAAGATAGAATAAAAGGATATAGCAGTAAAACATCTTAAAAAACATAAACAAATAGAAAAATAGATCAATAAAAGGCTGCTGATGTCGACGTGAGAGAGTCTGGCTGCTGTGGACGAGCCTGACGCTGCGATGAGGATGATGATGTTTGGATGACAGTTCTCAGCTGATGGGGATTAAACCTCTAAACTCTGGGTTATTACATTACATCTTGGCCCTGGGGCCGAACGCTCATGTTAATCCCAGTTTATTACATCCAGGCCTCTGTGGCTCCGAGCCGCCAGTCCCGCATGAATTATGAATAACGAGCAGTTGCACAGTGTTGTTGTTGTTGGTGTGCAGAGGTCACCGTGGTCCTGACCCCCTCCCCCCTCCCCTCCCTCGGTGATGTTGGGAGCGAGAAGGTCGCTCCTCATTGTCTGACCCCCCCACCCCCCCACCATCACCCCACCACCCATGCAGCCAGCACAGGAAACAGTTGGTTATGGCACCACTGCCCCCCTCCCTCCCACTCCCACGCTCTCATCATTGTTTCCCTGCTGGCTCCTCCCCCTCAGGTATCTGTCAGCCCGCAGGACCCCCCCCCCCGCCCCCCCCCCCCCCCCACACACACACACACACACACACCTGCCTGTGACTGACTCAGAAGTCGTTGACAGACAGGAGGCAGGTGATTGGTTTTGGATTTAGGTCGAATGGTGCCAACAACCTTTTTTTCTTACTGAGTAATTAAAGAGAAAATGTTTGATCCACTTACATCTACAGTTCAGTTTAGTTTAATTTGTCAAACATCTCTGTTTATACCTTAAATGAATCGTTGTGTAATATTAATACTTTACTTTTTCCTCCTTGTTTGACTCTGTGGTGATGAACACACCTGCTGTAGGAGCAACTTTTCTTTCTTCAAACCCTGTGGAATAACAAATTTGGCAAATGAACCGATTATATTTCATCTCATTTTCTCTCCATTTTAACAAAGTGAAGGAGCAAATTTTCAAAACGAATCGCTGCTGTGTGGCTGTAATTGACCTGCACTCTTTCACACGGCAGTGACGTTTCTTAATGAGGAAAATGTGACTTCACACTGTAAGAACGTGAGCTGTGAGTTCATGCTGACTCATTAATTACACAATGAGCGAAAGGTTGTTAACTGTTTTGTTTCCAGTTCTCTGCATGTAGCTGCAAAGTATTCACAGAAATACTCCGAGTTTTATTTCTTCTTTCCTCCAGCTGTTCTCCACAGCCTTGTTTTCTTCCAGGAAGCAGTAAATATTTAACTGCTACCTGATGCAATAAAATGACACTGTAAGTGGCAGGTTGTATTAAAAAGTGATGATGTAAAATATAGATGCATGGACATGAGTCATTATGGGTATTGGTATAGTACATATGTTTGTCACCCGCTTCTATTCTGGGTGGCATTTCACACAGAGTCGGACAATGCTGCATTGTTGTTGCAGATTTTCCTTAAAACACTGAGTTCCTACAGGATGTGTGTTGAGATGTGTGAGGGCAAATAAATAAAGCTTTCATCTCTACGCCAGCGGATAACTCTCAAATACTTTCTTAAACTTATGTATAACCCGTCGGCTCTATTCAGGCTGGCCTTATGTGGATGTATGGCCTTAAATTATTAAAAAAAAATCTTTTTAAACAATGGATTCATTGGAATATAGATCAACTTTTTGTCTGTGGAAACAACTCAGATGGTACAAAAAGTGTCTCAGATTATCACGACGCACCAAAACTATTTTCACCTGCAGTTCAATAAAAAACCTCCCGATCTGGTGACACTGGTAAAACACGCTGCTAAACTATGATTGGATAATTGCCATTTGGGGGAGGGGTTTAAAGAAAGGTCAGGATATTAAAAAGTAAATAAAAATGTCAGGACTGAACAACTGAAGAGGCGTTTAATAAACAGTTTCAAATTCCTCGACATCTAATTCAAAGTAGATTTAAGCATCGACACGGTCTCATGTAACGATCAATAACATTATTTTCAATCTATTTTTAAATCCTAATCTTGAGGCGAGGGACAGACCCTCACCAATCAATCAATAAATCAATCAATCAAACTTTATCTGTACAGCACTTTTCATACAGGTGAGTGCAGTTCAAAGAGCTTCACACTGATGAGCTGAAAAAGAAAAGGACAAATCAAGTAAGAAAGCGAAAATGAGACACAATAAAATAGATTTAAAAAGCTGTAACAACATAATAATATAAGAAAATGAACGATAAAAGAACAGAATAGAATAAAATAGATTTTACAACATAATTACAATAAGATAAGTGAGTAAAAGGCCGAAGACTGAAGACGAATGTTTTCATGAAAGAGTCAGACCTTCATTTTGTGATTTTACACACTAACATTGTTGAGGGTAAATAAAACATTCAGCTGCTGAATTTCAGAAAATTGAGATTAAATTCAGTTCAACAACAAGATTTCTTTTAATCTCCAACTGTTTATTTGTTCTGAGCTTCACTTTCAGAAACACTGAGACACTGAACCATGTAGAAACCGTAGAAACTGTCCTGTCCTTCCCATGCACTTTGTTCCTCTTGTTAAACAGATCTATATTATGTGCTGTTCTTTGAGCTGTGCTGCCCCCTGCTGGTGAGTCACATGAACTGCAACCACTGCTCCTGATGGAAAAGCTCCCAGTCAGAAACCACAGCTCAGAACCTGTCGTGCAAAATCCGACGACTGAAAGACAGATAAGGAGATTTTCCTTTTATTTCCTGCTGTGATTGAGATGAATCTCTGAGCTGCTGCTGCAGCATCTTCCCGCCGTGGCGGTGTGATATCTTCAGGCTTTATTATAGGGACCAGCCGCGGCTCCAGACCCGCCCCGCCCCTTCCACCCAGTTCGGACGCATTCTCCTCCCAGTGAGTCCAAGATGACGGCCAACAGCAGGTACAAGAGCCGCGCGCCCCGCTCAGGTAAGCCCCTGCAGGTGATTCATAAACCTACCGCGTGTCACAGCTGCTCGGTTAATCGATCAGACATCGATTGATGAACCTCCAGAAATCCACATTGTGTGTGTTTTTTTTTTTGTTATTATCGTCCTTCCTCCGGGTGTTTTCTCCTGCTGCAACCGGTGATGTGGCTCCTCTGCTCGGACTGACGCCTCCTGGAATCCGCCTGCAGATGATGGAGAGGTAAGAGACGCAGCAGACAGAGGTGTGTGTGTGTGTGTGTGTGTGTGTGTGTGTGTGTGTGTGTGTGTGTGTGTGTGTGAGTGATGATGACTCTTAAAAAATAAAAGCCCCCCTGCTGTGTCGCACCTGCACGAATCAAACCGCTTCACTTCGTTGTGGTCACTGTTCCAGCTGTTACAGATGTGACCCTGGTCAGTCATCACAAGCCTCCTGCCTTATCTCTACTCATCATCATCTAACATCTGTGCACATCTGTAAACATGATTGTAGAGCTGGAGCAGCTGGTGGACTAATCCATCAGTCGATCAACGGAACATTAATGAGCAGTTAGTTTGATAACTGATGCCACATATTAATTGGCTCCAGCAGATTTCATGCTGTTAATCATCATATACGACTTTTTTTTTTTTTTTTTGACTAATCGATCGATTGTTTGGTCGATTAAATGTCAGAAAATAGTGAAAAATGATCATTAAAATGTCTTTGTTTTATTCAACCAACCGTCCAAACTCCAGAGGAAAACATCAGATCCTCCCGTTAGAGAAGCTGGAGTCAGAAAACAACATGTCTGCTTCAAAAACCTCTTATTAAGTATCTGTTGATCAACTGATCGATTAATGGTTGTCAATAATTGTCAGATATTAAATATGTCATGTTTAAACGAAGATCTGGAACATTTCCATTCGTGTGAGTGAAGCAGCATCAATAAAGAAAACATGGAGTCATGCTGTTTGAATGTTTGTGGAGACGTGATGCAGCTGAAACTAATTGATTCACCAGTTAAAACAACATCTTCAAGTGTCTTTGTTTCGTCCAGCTAACAGGACAAAACCGACAAACAGTTTGTAATTGATTTGCATCTGATGCAGCGAAGCTTCTTATTGAAGAAGCGAGAATCAGAGAGAGTTTGTTATTTTTGCTTTAAAAAAAGAAAAAGACTCAAAATGTTAAAAAATGATGAAAATAGTTCTTAATGAATTTACTTTTCATCGTCTACTTGCTTTGGCTTTAAAGTATATGATGTAATAATGTAGGGAAAAGTGGAATAAGGTGATCTGTTTAGCTACTTAAGGTCAGAAAAATCTCCCACACACAGCGTGTCCTCACAGCTTCCAGTGCGAACATCTTTATTTTCAGACGTATGGAGCGGTTTCATAATGTTTCCCAGCTCTGTGTTTTCGTGGCGTGTTGCACGGCGGCGGCGCTGAGGCTGAGTCAGTGGACGCAGACGCAGACGCAGCGAGCTGTTAGCCTGCAGACTGCATGTGTGTATTTTTGTGATGTGTGTGTGGGCGTGACAAGCGAACGCATCCGCAGACAAAATGTCAATATGGAAGCAATACTGAAGAGGAACACACACACACACACACACACACACACACACACACACACACTGAACACCCCCACACCTCCATGCACACAGCTCCTTAGTCACTCCCTAAGTAGATCCCTCTAATGCACTCTGCATTACATTTGGTATTAAAAGCTCTCTGTGTCCTCAAGTGGAAATGTTTGGGAAAATCTAATGCGGGACGAGGGAGCTGCACTTTTATCACATCACACACCAGCTGTCTCCTGCCTCGGCTTTGTCCTGCTCCTCTGGTTTTAACAGGATTTCTGCTTTAAATTACATTATATTCTTTTTTTAAATATCACTGTCCTGCTGCTCAGATAATAAGTTCAGCTATTATTGATTTAGAACTTGAATTTATTGTTACGTCTGTCAGGTTTTTGTCAGGATTGTCCAGCTGAAAACAACAACAGTTTCTTCTCATATGATTTAGTCAATTATCACGAGCTGGACACACACACAGGGGCCTACAGGGCAGAGGCCCCGGGGCCCGGAGGCTCAGAGCCTCTGTGTGAAGTGACTGTTTGTATTTCCTGTTTGAAAGTGACAGAGTTCAGATAAAAGACAAAGACAGAGAAAAATGTTCGAGCGAGATGAAAGAAGAGAAATGATCAAAATGAAATGCCCTGAATGAAATGTTAGACTTTTATTGTAAGGCTTTTGTTTTGAAGGAACTGGATCAAGTGGTTTCCTGCGGACTTTTTCCCTCCTCATGTTCAGATGTACATCCATGTCTCTGCCCCCCCCCTCGGTGGCTGCCTGCCACACTGTATTATGAATACTCTGTGAGGCCGAGCGCTCAGCCTCCACCGTCTCCTCGCCGCTTCAATAAAACATGCAAGGAATCATGGGAATGTCCTACTAACACAGCTACTGTACCGCGAAGGAGCAGAACTGACCCAGCAGGCAGTGGGGGTGGGGGTGGGGGGGCAGATTCTCTTACAGCCGCAGGCCCCCGTCACTGCAGCTGCTTTAATGTTTCTTTCTCCGTCTGATTGTTTCCAGGAAAAAGATTACGTTGGTTTCGCGACGCTGCCCAATCAGGTGCACAGGAAGTCGGTGAAGAAAGGGTTCGACTTCACCCTCATGGTGGCAGGTGAGGAGAGGCGTGGCCTCTCTGAGCGCCGGTCCGGCTGATGGCACAGTCTCATCCACGCGTCTCAAGTCTTTGTTACATAAAGAGAAAGACTCTCTAACATCACACCTCAGTTTTCACAAATCTCTTGTTTCCTGTGAAAAATCTCCGTGTTAAAATCCGAGCGTTCGTCCTCAGGAACCAGATGAGTCACCGCATTATTTTATTACACAACAATATTTAATCACACTCTAAATCCGCCCATTAAATATTCAGAGTGTGACCTCTGCGGAGCCACAATGAAGACTCAGATATCTGAGTTCACAAAAACCACAAAACAATGTCAACGATTCCAACAGCGATCTGACGGCTCGTGTTCAGACTCTCAGTCCGTTTCTCTCGTTATCGAGTCTGAAAGGCAGAAAATATCGACGTGATATTTGAGACAAATTCAATTTTTATAAGTGTGTCTCAGTCTGACTGCTCGGATCAGATTTCACACGCTCCTGGATCCTGGATGAGTCTGGGCGACGGTGCAGAACGGTTCTGTGTATATAGGTCAGACTTGAAGGTTGCTTTGGAAAGTGTTTATCCGTTACTTTTATCTCCTTATGCACACATTTAGCTTTAACTGTTTATCTATTGCTCTTATAATGATTACTTTCAACCATTATTCATCACCTCCGGCTCCTCTGCTTGCTCAAGACATATCTGCAGTTTTGATTCTCTCGCCGTTTATTTCCTCCCGAACACAAATCTGAAGATACGTCTTTGAATCAAGTCAAAATTTCTGTCTCTTGTGAAGTTTATTTGAGTTGATTTCTGTGTGATATCCTCTGAAACTGTGAAAGGACAGTTTTCTACGGTGGCCCGGAGCAGTCAAATCACACGAGCTGCACGTTCTCGCAACACAACGGAAGTGTTTCCAGGGGGACACTAAAAAGTGACGAACCAAGCTGGGACACGCTTGTTGTTCAGTGCTTTTGATTTCAAGTCACAAAGAATTGAACAACAAGTGCGTCTGAACCTGGTCCATCACTTTTTAGTGTCCCCCTGGAAACACTTCCGTTGTGTTGTGAGAACGTGCAGCTCGTGTGATTTCGTGTGTTTTCTGCAGCTGCAGTGTGTTGAGCTTCAGGGCCACCGTACATTTGGCATTTCAAACTGACATTTTGTGCAGCAGCTCCTACAATCATGAAAACAACACGTGTCTCTGTGTGTGGAAGAACAGTCACACCGTGAAAATACTGAAGTTTAATCTGAAGATGTAAAATCTTAATCTTAATTAGTAGATAAATGAGGTGGAGTTGACGTGTTGACGTGTGTTACAGGTGAGTCTGGTCTGGGTAAATCCACCTTGGTCAACAGCCTGTTCCTCACTGATCTGCATAAAGACAGAAAACTGCTCAATGCTGAAGGTGAGTCACCGGCCAATCAGACGTCTGCACACAGGTGAGGCTGAGAGCACCTGCAGAGGGGGGGGGGGGGGGAGACGAATGACTTCTGTTTCCTGTTTCAGAGCGAATCAATCAGACGGTCGAGATCACGAAACACACGGTGGACATCGAGGAGAAGGGCGTGAAGCTGAAACTCACCATCGTGGACACGCCGGGTTTCGGAGACGCCGTCAACAACTCCGAGTGGTGAGTGTTTCCTCTGGAGCCTGAGGCCGGGTCAGGAGAAGCAGCTGTGCAAGATCAGACATCAAATCACATTAGATGGAGCTTTCTCTGGTTTTACCTTAAGTGAACTGGCTCCTGAACACAACGCTGATCTGACCTCGCCTCCTCAGCTCCGTCTCTCTCTGTAGTTTCACCCACGTAGAAATAAAAGCTCTGCACGTCTTCTGTTCAGCAGGGACCTGCACAGCTCACACTGCACAGCCTGACAACAGTAAACTGTACTAGTTCTTATGATTCATAAAGAGTAAATGGTGTTATTATACATCGTGGTTACAAAGCATTGAATTCTGTTTCCTCCAACAAAAGGTTTAAATTTCATGAATATTTCTTGATCATAAACAGAAACTTTTACTTTTATATGTTTTTGATTGGGGTTGAGAGATGTCAGGAGACGTTACACATCTATAAACTACGAGTGCGACGAGCTGTTCAATCCTTCTTGAATGAAAACTCTGGCCCAACGTTTGCCTGGTTCCTCGGCCCAGGTCTGGCCCATATATACTCCCACATCCGGGCAGAGTCCGGCTGTTATCCTCCGGTACTGACTAACAGCTGGAAGATTTTCTGCACGAGAATCAGTCCAGATGTGGAAGTAGCATCAGACAATCGTGCTGTATATGGGCCAGATCTGGGCCAATACTGGGCCAGAGGGAAACAAGCAACAGATTTATTTTGCTATCTGGGAAGCTTTTTTATTTTTTTAAATTGGTTAATCCATTCACCGATGTCCTGCTGCTTATCTGGGTCCAGGCCACCTGACAGTAATTGATTGATTAATTAATCACCTGGTCTGTTTGTTTTGGAGAGGAGGAAACCTCTGAGGATAATTCAGCTGCTGATAAAAACTTCCTGAACCAATGACGCTGAATCAATTCCCAGGAACAACTCCCATGATCCCACGCTGCTTCCAGAGGTCACCAGTGTTTCTTATAGTTTAGATTGAGAGACCCCTAGTGGCAGAAAATGACATATCGTGTGTTAAAGTCCCTTTAGCTTCAGCAAAACCTGCCAGAAAACCTCTGGACTTTAAATCGTTTCTGATCATCCTATTATGGGCTTTTGTTTGAGTTGCTTTGCCAGTTTCATTTGCTGAGCTACAGTATTGATTTAATCTGATTTCATTAGGACTTTAATTATATTTCTCACCGTCTCCCTGACCCTGTTGTATTGATCTCTCTGATTTCTATCTTTCTTTTCTAAAGTGCCACACGATGCCTTCACTTGTTGCTTCTGTGTCGTGTTTCACATTAACTGAGGAACAGGATTATTGTCACGGTTTCTGCAGCATATTTACATAAATAAAAAATATATTTCAGAGGAATCTCATCAGGAAATGAGCTGCTGTCTGAGTTAGCTTGGACGTGTATCCTTGTGTATCCAGTGTGTTTTGAGCATGTGTCCAAATGTCAAACTATTCCTTTAAAATAAAGCTAGGTTTATAGTGAAAGCACATGAACATACATGTTTGTGTTGCAGCTGGAAGCCCGTCACAGATTACATCGACCTGCAGTTTGAACAGTACTTCAGAGACGAGAGCGGACTCAACAGGAAGAACATCCAGGACAACAGAGTTCACTGCTGCCTGTATTTCATTCCTCCGTTTGAGCACGGGTAACACACACACACACACACACACACACGGTGCTTACTGTACGAACACGCATGCATTAAGCTGACATCGTCCCTCAGGCTTCGTCCGGTCGACATAGAGTTCATGAAGGCGCTGCAGGACAAGGTGAACGTGGTTCCTCTCATCTCGAAGGCCGACTGCCTCACTCCCAGCGAGATCAAGAAACTCAAAGAGCGGGTGAGAGCACAAACCATCCCTCCGCACATTTTAATATTAAGATGAAGATTTAAGTGAATATATAAACATATTTCCCCAAATAATGAACTTTCCCTTTAAAATTATGCTGATTTCTTTTTCTCGACTTCTGCTCAGTATTTTTTATTCCCAAAAATAAACTTGTTTTCTACGTTAAATCCTGTATTTCAATAGAAATAAAAATGTGTAGAATAATAGAGTCAGTATCAGTTCAACACATGTTTACTTTAACCATCAGTAAATATATTGATCCTCTGACCTGAGTTGACGGGGAAAAGATTATGGAACTAAGTTGAGCTTCATTAGATTTGGATCCATTTTCAGCTCGTTTCACTGTGAATGACTCAGACGTTTCTCCACAGAGATTTTATCTCTGTGGAGAAACGTCTATCTCTTTAAAGCTCTCACACAGGCCAGTGACCTCCGGCTAAAATCCAGCACTCAGTGGGAGGGTGTGTGTGTGTGTGTGTGTGTGTTTCTTCCAGCTGAGGGAAGAGATAGATAAATATGGGATAAAGATCTACCAGTTCCCTGACTGCGACTCAGATGAAGACGAGGAGTTCAAGCGGCAAGATAAAGAGCTGAAGGTGAGTCGAACACATCCTCCATCGCTTCTGATCGTTGTGGTGTTTAACAGGTTTGTTGCTTCAGTACTTTAGTATTATAATTTATTTACTACTTTATTCCTCTTCACTACATTTAAGAGGGAAATATTGTGCGTTTTACTCACAGCTGCAGCTACGAGTTATTTTACAGATTAAAACTTTATGTACAACAATAAAAGACAAACATGATGTACAGCTTTACATATGACTACACAGCTGCACAGCCAGAAATACTGAGGTCATGAATGTAGATGTCGCCGAGCGTCGCCTCACCGGCCAAAAACATTCTCTTTTTTTTCTCTGTCATTTAAATGTTTCAGTGAGTCGTGTTGTTTTCTGTTTCAAGTCACCATAAGAGAAAATGCAGATGTAACACTGATAGCTAGTCTGAACCTACGTTAGTGTTTGTGTAGTTAGCATCTTTTCGTGGCGCCTCAGTGGCTCAGCTGATAGAGCAAGTACCGCAGGCCATGAGTCTCTCTCTCTGCCTGACTTCCCTGTTGCTCTCTCTCTCCCTGTGCTTTCACAATAAAGGCAAAAGTGCCCAAAAATAGTTAGCATCTTTTTTTGTAGTTTTATTGTAGTTAGCATCTTTTCAGAACTGTTAGTGTAGTTAGCGTCTTTTCAGAATGGTTAGCGTAGTTAGCATCTTTTTTAGAACGATAAGCGTAGTTAGCATCTTTTTAGAACGGTTAGCGTAGTTAGCATCTTTTCAGAACTGTTAGTGTAGTTAGCGTCTCTTCAGAAATGGTTAGTGTAGTTAGCATTTTTTAGAACGATAAGCGTAGTTAGCATCTTTTAAGAATGGATAGTGTAGTTATCATATTTTCAGAACGGTTAGCGTAGTTAGCATCTTCTCATAACAGTTAGTGTAGTTAGCATCTTTTTAGTAGGGTTAACATGGTTAGCATCTTATTTTAGAACAGTTAGCGCACTTAGCATATTTTATTTGTTTATCTTGTTTGTTAGCTTGTAACCGTCAGCGGCTGACTCACTGGTAGCGGTTGTGCTAATGCTAACTCTGTCTTTCTGTGCTGACAAGGGTTCAGGTATAAATTAGACACTCAGTCATGGTGTTGACTGATTGTTTCTCTCATCATATGTCTTGTATTGTATAAAAACATCATTGATCGTTGATCAGTGGTATCAATACTTGCACCTTCAGTAGAGGATCTGAGTGTTTGCGTTCCTCTGCAGGAGAGCTCTCCGTTCGCAGTGATCGGCAGCAACACGGTGGTCGAAGCCCGAGGTCAGAGGGTGAGGGGGCGGCTCTACCCCTGGGGCATCGTGGAGGGTAAGATACTCTCTCTCAGCTGGACCGTTTTTGTTTTCTGCCCATCCCCGGCTCTCTGCGGTGTTGCCATGACAACGCTAATCGCCAGTAATGCCGATGTTAATCTCTTCCCGCACGCAGTGGAGAACCCGTCCCACTGCGACTTCGTGAAGCTGAGGACCATGCTGATAAGAACCCACATGCACGACCTGAAGGACATCACCAGCGACTGTCACTACGAGAACTACAGAGCGCAGTGCATCCAGACCATGACCAGGTGTGTGTCCCTGAACTGCACCTTGTTTTCTCTTCACTGTGGCCTTTTGTGAAGAAACGCACTCACTAGTTTAACACACCACAAATAAATAAAGACACAGTAAAACTTCTGTGTTTAGTTGTCGAAGCTTTCACCTGCTTCCCTCTTCCTCCTCCTCCTTTCTCCTCTCCTCTTTTCTCTTCTTCTTCTCCTCCTGTGTTAGGGTTAGGGCTCACTGTGAGGTCTCTGCCAACAAAAGTAAACCAGTGTGTTGTTGTTGTTGTTGTTGTTTATCTGTGATGTCACAGTAAGATGAACGCAGATAAGCGGGTGGAGAGCCCCCTCCCCATCCTTCCTCTGTCCACTCCGGACGTGGAGACGGAGAAACTCATCAAAATGAAGGACGAAGAGGTGAGAGAAGAAAACCAGCAGGAGGTGTTACATCACCGAGACGCTGATGTGAATCCATGACCCAGATGTGATATTATGTAATCACCCCCCCCTTGTTCCCTCTCCTCTGCAGCTGAGGAGGATGCAGCAGATGCTCCAGAAGATGCAGCAGCAGATGCATGAGCAGGACCTGTGACCTGTGACCTGTGACCTGTGACCTCTGACCTCTCGTGTTACACCTGTGACCTTTACACCTTTTTATTTAGGAGACAAACTGACAGAAGATCAAACACACAGCACCAACATAACCCCTCACTGAAGCCAAAAAACCTTTTAGATGATCACAGTAAATACTTCACCTGGTCACAAAGAAACGGTAGATGAAAGAGAGCATGCTGGGAAATGTATTTTAACTTAACTGAAATGTTTTGGCACCTTTCAGAAGGTTTGTTTTTTTATTGCAGTCATCAGCCAAGGGAGTGTCGTTAGGCAATAGAGAGTAGGTTGCACTTCATCACCTTTAGATTTACAACTATGTTTTATACTTTGATACTAAATGAGACTCAAGCACCAAAACCTCAGTTCATGCAGGAGTTAATGAACTTATTGTGTGGAGTGGCACCCAGACTGAAAAGTGGCTGATGGTACGTTGCTGCTGCTGCAAGTTTCACTGCAAGTTTTAAACAAATTTACAGAAAAATCAGCAGAAATAATGAATTAATGTGTTTCCCTCCTCTGCTGCTGCTGAAGGAGACGAGGTTATTATAAGATCCAGTCAGACGATGGAGATCTGACATTTCTGTTTGTTTCATGTGTTAATGTGAGGAAGGTTCCCTCCTCCTCCTCATCACACCACACACAGCTGATGCTTTTGTCCTTTCACTGGAAGAGACGAGTGATGTTAAAGTCACATGATTCACGTACGTCAGCGTTTATTCACTGATTATAAATGCACGTTTACATTTTCTCGCATTTTGACGCACCAACTTTTCCACCTCAGCAAAGCCTAAAAACATTTTATTTTTAATTTTGAGAAGCTTTATGTTTCCTCTCTTTTTTATAATAATAATAATAATAATAATAATAATAATTTTTATTCATTGAGCACTTTTCATACAAGAGATTTTCTCAAAATGGTTTTAAAATGAAATTAAAAATGAAATAGAATAAAACAAGAAGAACAATGAAAATACACAATTGACAGTAGATGATAAGATATGTAAAATAAAATAAAATAAAAACAGAAACCAGTAAGAAAAGTAAAATATGAGAGAATTAATTAAAAGCCGAATTAAATACGATTTTAAAGAAAATGCTCTTGGCAGGTTTTTCCATAGTTTTGGACCATAGTTTAAAAAAAGCTGCGCCGTTTATTTTGTTGTGTGTAAATTTGTGTGTAATTAAAAGCAGAGAGAAGATCTAAGAGCTTGTGAAGGTTTATAAAACAACAGGGAGTCTGCAACATGAGCCGGTGCCAAACCATTAAGAGAGAGATAAAGATACCGGGAGCCAGTGGAGTGAGCGGAGGAAACCGGAGTTATATGATCTCTCTTCCTTGTTTTAGTTAAAAGTCTAGCAGGACTTTCAATTGTCTTTCAATTGACTGCTTCAGAAGAGCAGTTTAAAGATCATTGCAATAATCTGATCTCTTTTGAATAAAAGCAGGAATAAGCTTTTCAGCAGCTTTATGGGATGAGAACGGCCGTACTTTGCAATACTGTTAGAAATTTAGGATTAAAATCCAACAATCTGACTGTTATGACCCACAGCTACAAACCAACCACTCAGACTCAACATGTGTGCGATACTATCAGCCTCTTTTTAATCTGGGTGCTGCAGTAAATGTGTCTGTCTCATGCATTTTAAGAGTTTTTACTCCGTATCAGTGAAAGCCATAAACACACGTGTTCTCCAGACAATCTCCTGCGAGCATGTTTGTTGTGTTCGTGTGCCTAAAAATACAGTGATAATCAGTATTTCTCACAAGTCAAGTAAAATCCTAAAATTTGATTAAAAATGATATAATAATAATGATAATGATAAAAATAAAACTTTTCTTTATGTAGCACTTTCAAAATCAGTGTTACTTTAAAACGAGGAAGTGAAAGAAGGAAAAGATGAATCTTTCTTTTCATCTAAAAGTGTATTTTTATGCTAATAGATAAACATGTGTTGACGTTTAACAAAGTTTTTTTGATAATTCTGAATTATTTGTTATTTTTTAAATTGACATAACTGTCCTGAATTAATATATTTGCACTTTTTTTCTCCAAAATAACCCTAAACGCTTCGTTTAATACTATTTTTTCAAGAGAACTTGAAGGTTATTGTCTCAAACCCACTGAGGTTCAAGGAAAGACAACTAAAGCAGATAACATCAAACATCTGGAAGCTTTTTATAGTCAACTTTGTTTAAAAAAAATACATAGTGTATTAGAGGAGGGGAGGAGGTAATGCAGTGGATCCCTATAATGTAAAATGAATTCTGTCAATAAACTACTGATTTAAAGCCGCATTGATTATTTATTTTGGCCTCCTGGGGGCAGATTGACATCTCCTTAAAAAGTCTGTATGCTGAATTTGTGAGCGATGAGTTGCTCATATAATAATTGTACAGACCTGGAGTTGTGTTTGTGTCCACCTGAAATGATCATCATTTTGATCCACTGTTATTATGAAAGTGTTGGTTAGTGCAGCTTTAAACTGTGACCACAGATTTCAAGTAGCTTCCTGTAGCAGCAACCACTTATGGGTTAAACTTTTAATTTGTTAAAGAATGAATGGGCCGCTTCCTCTTTCAGAAGTTACATAATCTCCCTTTAAAGGATGATTCTGTGTTTTTGCCTTTGAGTCGCCACATGAGACTGAATTAATGAATTTTTATAAAGTGTTAGGTTTTTAGGGAAGCCCATGAAACAAGACGAAGAGCTAAAGCCATGCTAGTGGCTACTGTGAGGCCGTAATTGAAGCTAATTGGAGCAAAATGCTAAAGTCAACATGTTAACACGCTCACAATGACAATACTAACATGCTGATGTTTTGACAGGTTTAAAGCTGCATTCAAACATAATGTTGGCAGAGTGGGAAGAGCAAGAGAAACAGCCCTTATTCTGCTTGTTTGTTCTAAGGAAATTAGCTCTAGTGCTAACGTTGTTGTAACAACAGATAAACAAGCCAACTTAGCTTCTTTATTTGCATATTTTTTCAGTTTGTTTACAAGTAAAACCAAATCCAAACAGTGAAGAGCTCCTATAAAATGAGTGGAAGGCTGATGTGAACAGCTTTTCACACTTGGATTCTTGCGGTTAGACATGAATGTGGAATAACGTTCATGTCCACCTTCTTAGTTTAAAGGGTTAGCACGCTAAAATTTGCTAATAATCACTAAAGACAAAGTAGAGCTGTAATTAAATTATAATTTGTGCCATTAGTTTATATTGAAGAGGTTGAAACTGTCCTGGGGGCACTGAGGGAGATGAAGCAGAGATATCTATGTGGTGAAAGATACTTGTACACACAGGAAGTCATGCTTATCAACGTGATCAGCAGCAGCAGCAGCAGCACCGGTGGCGGTTAAGGCCTGAGTCACAGTCACAAAGACCGATACATGTATTTTTAGATTCAGTGTGACTTGTGCTTCCCGATGATATCATTACCTCCAATGGTCATCACAGATAAATGTCCATAGACTTGCTTAGAAGTCATAGCAAAAAAGACGCTCCTAACTGCAGAACTCACCTGAGAATAATCAGGATTTTAAGTTTTCTGCAGTATAAAATGAATCCACTGATAGTTGTCTGTACATCCATGGGTACAACACAAACTGGATGTGCTAATACTGAATTCAGCATATTTAAGTGGGGCTCAAGTTGTAGCCCATTGCGTAAATCACTGACTACGTGGCAATATTATACTTCCTGTTTCTATAGTAAAAATTTGCATCTGTTCATGTAAGTGAATACTTTTAATATTTAAAGTGACATGATCCAAAAGACACTTAATTATACTGATATTTAAGCTCATATTCTCTCCTAAATAAAAACTTAAAATTGGGGTAATTTGGGGTAATTTAAGTCAGATCTGGCAACACTAGTAGGGTGACTAGATGTCCCCGTTTTGCGGAGACAGTCCCCGTTTTTGGTCGCGTGACCCCGGAAATGTCCCTGTTTTTAACTGAATCAAAAACAGACATCTAGCTTTGTGCTTGTTTTGGCCAACAGAGGGGGCTGGTTGCTAGCTATAACAGCCGCAGAAATGAAGCTAAAACCATCAAAATAGATTTTTTTGTTGTTTCTAGGAATAGAAAAGGTTAGTTAGCTCACTTAGGAGTTCTTCACCAGGCAGTAAACTAATGAAAACAAATGGGAATGTAAATAATCAAGCAATAGATAGACAATCGGACTTCACAGCTGCTTCAAAGGTAGAGAGTCGTCATTTTATCAGTCATCTTTCACCATAATTCATTACTGTGCAACAGTTACCAAGGTCAGAATACATGAAACTGATATATTTTCAAACTGGAAACATCCCCAGTTTTCATTTCAGAAATCTGGTGACCTGAAACAAAGTTATTACAATTTCTGCACTAGTTTGAGAGTTAGAGTTGACACCATTTTGGCAGCACTTCAAAGTATTTTTTTTGGGGTGGGGTGGGACTCAGTCTCGTGTTGTGGCTCCTTAAAAGCTGAAGTCCGGCCCTGCTGTCGCTGCTTGGTGGTAAATATTTCCGAGCAGAGGGGGGCAGGACGACCCCGACTGGCAGCGGTGCAGTCGAAATACGTGACCAGTGTTTGTGTTTTTAACGTGCTTTTCATGGTGTGATGCAGCTGAATGGGGGAAATTGCGTAAGTGTTTTCAGTAGCGGATCAGTAGCCCGTGCATCGGCGTGAGAGCCCGGCCGAGCTCCGAGCAGAGGCGGGAATGGAGCGGAGCGACGGGGACGAGAATGAGAGCTGCGCGTCCCAACAGAACACGATGTGGAAACAGTTCCAAGCCAAAGCCAAGCCGCTGCTCAGCCCCAAGCTGGGCGCCAGAGACCCGGAGGACAAGAAGGAGCGGGGCATGTGGATGTTCAAGAAGATGAAGCGGAAGGAGAACGTCGTCCTGGACCGGGTGATCTCCTCCTCACAGCCCGACCTGCTCTTCTCCTCTCAGGTAGATGTGGAGGCGAAGGAGGCTCATCTCTGCGGCAAAGCGGCGGGGAGCGGCTCCGGACTCGGCCGGGAGAAGCTGCAGTCGTCCTCCAAGTACAAGACTTCCAGCCCGAACAAACCCACCGTGGCTCAGCTGGTACAGTCCCACCATAAGAGCTCCTCGCTGGGGTCTGCGTGCCTGGAGAAGCTGGCCGAGCCACCGGGCAGCAGCAGCGGCGGCGGCGGCGGCAGCAGCAGCAGCGGCGGCAGCAGCGGCGGCGTGGGCGAAGCGGCAACAGCTGCAGCAGCAGCAGAACCACAGCTGGAGAGCAAAGATGAGCAGCCGGTGAGCTTTACCTGTCAAATATGGTGGTTTGGCCTTTTAACATAACATCTGTCTGCAGAGAAAGAGAGAGATCACAGGTTAGTGGATGTTAGGAGACTTATTTAGGCAAGTTTCGTTTGTTGCAGACATGGCCTCAGTGTGTATCCTGGGTAAAGATAGATAGATAGATTGATAGATAGATAGATAGATAGATTGATTTCATATTTTGATGATTTTTAAAGTTAAAAGAAGTAAATCCAACCCCTGTAGCAAAGTCTGGACACCCTAAGTCAGCAGTTAGTGACCCATATATCCGCCAGTCTCTTAAATTGCAATGTGATGTATTCATGTTGTGTCCAACCAACAGTCCAAAAACCCAAAGATATTCAGTTTACAGCGACATAAAAGAAAGAGACCTCTCACTTTCACTCAGTAAATGACTTTAAAGACCCAATTAGTATTTTACAGGGTCACAGCAGCAGCAGCAGGTCTGACCCGGCCCACAGTGGCTGTATACTAGAAAACAAAAAGCTTTAGTGCTTGAGACAGAGGGGGTTCAGTAGGAGCCAAAAGTGAGAAAACTATGAAACATTAAAGGGAAAATTGAACCATTTCGATTTCGAAACAAAGCACAAAACTGGAGCTAAAACAAGTCCAGTATTGATCCAGTATGTAATCTTTCCTGGGGGACGGAGGTAGTTGGAGGTAGTTGGAGGTGGAGGAGTGACTTGGAGCATGGAGAATGCCCAATCTCTTTGCCCAGCTCCGCCCTGTCAGTGTAACATGATCCAGATCAACAGCAGCGCAAACTGCAGCCTCTGAACTCTGTTGAAGCAACGTCTGACACATTTTCAACATTAACTGTGTACATAAACACAGTATAGAAAAACTTGTTGTTGAAGGATAGATGCAGATGCCTGTAATCCTAACCGCTGGGCGCATGACCTGCACAGAAAACAAGTAAACTCACTAAACCAACAACTCACTAAAGTAAACCCCCCCCCCCCCCCCAGCCCTGCAGACTGTGTTTAATCCAACAGAAAACACAAGTTACACACACTCGTCACGTACTGAAGACCCGACCAGAAAGGAGGTGCAGTAGGAAATGCGTTTTTATTTCACAATAACAGCTACAGGAGGCGTTAAATTAGGAGCGGTGGCCGAGGCAGAAAAGACAGATAATAACATTATGCCCCAGTTCCACTCTGTACTAATGTGGTATGTAATAGTGCATCACTGAAGAAAATTCACTCAAGTCCTTAATGCCAAGTTTGATGCAGTGATGTGAGTTTATTGGTATCCCAGGATACGGTGCTGACACCGACTGAAGGGCAGGGGGATAGTTATACACTTGAGGAAAGAAAGGGGATGGTCCCCGGTATGGAAATACAGGTCAGACAGAATAACAAGGTGATCGAAGGGGGTAGAAACAAAACGTAATTTTCTCTGGAGGCCTTGCAGTGTAACTCGCCGTAGGGTCAAGTTACCGGGGGGGGGGGGGGGGGGGGGGGGGGGGGGGGGGGGGGGGGGCAGGAAGGAGCCTTAGATTAAATCAGCAATATCCACAGGTAAAGGTGTTGCTAAGACAGTGATGTAGTGGAGATGAGAGAGGGGAAGCAGAGGAGGTGTTACACTGAGACAGACGGTGGTTGAATAGTATCTTCCTGCTCAGAGGATTGAAGGTTATACTGTTATACTGGTTAACCAGTAGGGTTATAGGATTGTCTTTCTCAGCATTCACGTGGTGTAATTTGTTACCAAAGTCGTCTTGTTTTATTGTGGAGGCTGTTTGTCACTGACAGTCTGTGCAGTATACAGAGGGACTGGTGGAGCTGTTCACACCTTTAATGTGGAAGACGGGACGACCCCAGGAGCACACGTGTTACTAGTAATGGCTGCATCTCATTTACACGCACAGTGCCAGGAGCCTGGTGCACAGATGGAAGAAACAGAGGAGTTTACTTCAAGTTTATATGTTAATAATAATAATAATTTGGAAAAAAGCTAGAATCCACCTCCTGGTGGTTGCCTCTAGTTTCAGGTTACATCCCTGTTTATCCAGAGTCGTGTGAAATATGAACCATTTGTGTGAAAAAGTTTTGAGTAATGGCTATAAAATGTTTTGGGAGGTCACGCTGATCTTAACCTTTGACCTCCAAAATCTAATCAGTTCGTCTTTGAGTCAAAGTGAATGTTTGTGCCAAATTTGAAGAATTTCCGTCACAGCGTTACGGAGAAATCATGTTCAGGAGAATGGGACGTACGAACAAGCGGAAAACAACAATAAGCCTCTAAGACTCTGAAAACCCAACCTCAGTATTTAACCAGTAAACTTACCCTGAAACCTAAAGAGTGCTGTGGACCAGAACCATCGTCCATTCATTCTTTTCCTGCTACAGCAATGCAGACGGTCTGTGACGACGACGGTCGATACGGACGGACGTAGAGGTTCTCATTAGAACCTGAACAGGGCGGGAGCTTTTTCAATAAAGCGATCTTTATTGAGCCTGAGACAACACATTAAAGTCCTCAGCATCCACCTATTCATCATGTTGATCTGAAACCACAAAAGGTCACAGGCACTGAAATCGAGTGAAGACGGTTTTAGAAAGAGAAAAGTTACCAGAGCAGAGGATGAGCTAACAGCTTCTGTAGAGGAAAGGTTTGAAGTCATGAAGGAAGTCTGGACAGAGACATGTCTCCTGCAGAGGAAGTAACAGTGTTTTATTGTTCTTTTTGTGGAGCGATGGGGGTGGGTGAGGACAGCCACGTGCTTCCTCTTTTAGCTTTTGTGCAGGTGCCCCAACCACCGAGAAGGAGTGACCAAATCCTGATGGGGATTGAACCCCGGGTGAGAACGTGAGCGCTTTAACCAACATACTGCTTGTTATTAGAAGTTCAAACAGTTCTTCAAACTTGGGAATAAAATATTCAAACTGTAATCACCTGTTCAGAACTTTAAGAGCACAAGTAGTTGCTGCCGCACTGAGCGACCAGTAAACTGAGCTCATCAATACAAGTGGACGAGGACAGCAGCGTGTGAGGTCGTGCTAATGAGGTAGCAACGACTGCAGAGCTTCTATCAGTCTGTGGTAGAAGTACTTTGGTTTCGGCAAAATTACCAACAAAGATGAAGCTGTTTGCACTAATTAATCATCAACAATGATGATTAATTAATCATAAACTAATTAATCATCAACAATGATGATTAATTATAGCATAACAGTTAAAGAGTGACTTAATAGGGTTCAGAGGAGGCTAGCCTTTTCGGAAATCTGTATCTGCACCTCCAGGGAAAAGCTACAGCGGTAATGAAGGTGTTAACACTAATTATCCATCTTAATGAACAACTCAATGAAGTTCTGAGTTAAACGATGGGAGCTAATGTCACGATATTAATGTGGCATGTATATATAAAGTGTATTTGTTGACGATCAGTCTGCAGAACACACTGGACAGTAGATGGAGTTTAGCATTGTGTCTGGCATTGATCTGCTGATCAATGAGCAGCCTGACAGTGAGTGAGCGATTGGATGATGCAGGTACGTTCAGTGCCGAGCTCGTCCTAAATCTGATCACACTTGTGTGAAGTTCCTGTAGAGTGAAGACGAAGAGTCTCTGAGGATTTCAGACGTGTGGAAACGGGTTAAAAATAAACCCCGTGATGGCGACGCCTCGTTTGGAAGTGCGACCTGCAGGTTTCCAAGTGTAATGAGGAGGTGGGGATGGAGGTGGGGATGGAGGTGGGGATGGAGGTGGGGATGGAGGTGGGGAGGTGGTGCAGAGTCTTCAGGTTTGAAGAGGCTTCACTGATAAAGTTCCTCACCAAGAGCGATTTACTGCGAGCGGGGAAGTATTCAGGACGCCTACGCAGAGATGGGCCCCCGGCCAGGAAACGTGGGAATGGCCTGAACGTCCGGGAGATTATAAGAATTAAATTAGAGGAATTGACTTTGACGAGTGTCTGATAGTCGCGGTGTAAAGATTTTCTTTCTTGCAGCGACAATAGCAGGATCACAGGGAACATCAAGAGATCCTGTAGAGTCTTCACATGCAGATCAGACTCTGTGTCAGCTGTTTTCTTTTTCTCTGGTGATAAGAGCAGACGAGAGATAACGGAGCGTTCCTTGCCTGGAGAAAGTGTTGTGTTCCTCTGGGACGTGAGCAGCCGTGTGTCTCTACCTGCACCGACCTGCGCTCAGGTGTAACGGAGACAGAGTTAGCGGCAGAGCTGCTGCATTCAGCTGCCTCTCAACACCAGCGCGTCTGATAGGAGGACAGAGAACGAGACTCGTGAGTCATTAGTTCACACACTGAACAGACGTTATTGAACAGCGGCTGTAAGAACTGTGTCTATGAGCGTGTATGTGTGACTTATCACTTATTGATTTTCCACCGTGACGAGCGGCTGATTAAAGGAAAACAAACTGCTCATGTGCTTTAAGGCAAAGACTCTGTTTGTCTTTCTGTGTGTGTGTGTGTGTGTGTGTGTGTGTGTGTCACTCTCTCTCTCTCTCTCTCTCTATCATGTTGAGTTTTCATGTTTTTCCCCCCTTTAATATTTCCCCCCTTGTTTCTGAGAAAGTCATATTTCATCTGTCGCTCTGGCTTCGGGGGACAGGTCTAAATAATACAACACCCATGAGCCTCAGCTGCCGTTGCCATGGAGAAGAAGCCAGTCAGAGGCGGGAATCACAGCGGTAGCGATTTCAAAATGCTTCTTGATATCAGCTGAAGAGAAGAAGTTGATGCCAGAGCTGCTGAATTCATCCACAATGACCCAAATATGAAAAGTGAAGTAAAATAAGTTTTCTCAGCAGCACAGTCTTTAGCTTGTGCCGGATGATTCTTGCTGAAATGCACGCTGGGAGTCGTAGTTCCCTGAAACATTTGTGTACACAAACTTTTACGTTTGATTTATCAAAGAACCAGATATTTTGTAAGGCAGTTGTTATTAAAGAGTTTTATGTTGATCCAACATATTTTCTATGGGAAAAATAAATGGGAATTTTACTTCTGGTACCAGGAACACCTAAAATAGCTCCTCCCACTGACGGTACGGGGTATTTGCTGTCGTCACGTCTAGGCCCATGACAAACAAACAGCTAACGCTAGCTGGGGCTAGCCAGCGCTCTGTAATGTGGGATGAACGCAGCCCTGAGTGTCAGATCGATTAGAATCGGAGAATTGTGTTTTTTTCAGCCCAGCCCTCGTCTTTATGCTAAGCTAAGCTAACCTCTCATTTGATACTCAGCATGAAAGAGACTCTTCTGTATTTTAGGAAACTGAACTGGCCTTAAATCTGTCTGTGACCTGAGCGTCTGTGTCCTCTCAGCTTACCCTCTAGTACCCTCTGTCAGTCAGGCTTACTCCTCTGGAGGAGGATTAACGTCGAGCCAACCAGCTCGGCTCCTCCTCTTCCTCCCTCCTCCTCACCTGTTCCTCCTCCTTTCATTCATCTTGGAACAGCGACAGTCCCACACCTGCTCCCTCTCTGTGGAGATACTCTCTGAGGTTACAGGAGTTCGTCCTTCGGTTCATCTGGACTCGATCCTCGGTGTCTCTCCCTCTGCGATGTCTCCCACCTAGCCGCTATATATTTAAGAACTTCCCCTACTCCCCTTTCTCCACCTCCCACCGCCTCACCTGGTCTGTAACACCTCCCCTTGCGTCCTGCTCGACCCTGGATCTCTTTCTGAGCGAGGCCCCGGTGGCAGAGACCCGTCTAGCGATCCGGGGGTTACTTCGCGGTGGCTCTTGCGATGACTCGTTTTCCCTCGCCTCCACGTGTGGACGGCTGCTGTCGGTGAGCTCATCTTCATCTTCGTCATCACCATCATCATCCCGTGTTTCATTTCTTTACATGTGCAGAAGTGAGGAATCCTCAACACTTCCTGTTACCAGCGAACATTGATGATTCCTCCTGAGATAGCTTCTTGTATTCTTGTCCAGAGATTCACTGTAGGAAACTGTAAGATTGGAAAAAGTGTCAGGTCCTCACACTAGAGAAGCTAATCTAAGACAGCTAAGCTAAACTAATTGATCAGTCAGCTGATCGTTGCAACTCCAGTGAAAACAAAAGTCTGTCGTACCAAACGGTGAAATGAGATTCTGGATGATAAAAATGGTTTAACGTCAGATCCACAGAAGAGATGGAGACTGTGTCTGTAAAAGATGAATTAAATGTGATATACAGTACTAGTGCGACCTGATTGATTGATGTATGGATTTCCCTCCGGCTCTCTCAGCGGGTCAGATCTGACCGGGTCAACTCTCTTCTGTGTTTGAGCGATGACCCAGACGGTGATCAGGGTCAGACTCGTGTGTTGTGTTGTTGGGTTTTGGGAGGATTATAATGACATAAACTGAGAAGCAGAATAACCAGCATTGTTCATGGTCTCTCCTGTCAGGTATTTAAACAGGTATTTCCTCTGTGGGTTCAGTCCACCGGGCCTCCAGAGCTCCGGTGGTTACTGAGCAGTGGTTCGCTATGATTTATGTTTGATGTGTTTTCTCAGCCGTAAAGGTTTCTGTTCCTGACCGTCGCACGCTCAAACATCTGTGCAGGTCGGTGAGGACGGTCTTCATCTGTCTTTGTTGCTTTCAGCTTGTCTTCAGGTTTGTCCCACTTCAAGTCTCTGAGAGAGTGTTTCTCAAGGTAACAGCTGACTGACATTTGAGGGCCTTCAGTGATGAGCCTCTGACTCTAAAGTCTACAAACCTTTTCTTTCTTTCCCTCCTCTGTATTTGGTTGCACTGTCTGAGTTTGGTTGCGTTGTCTTGTCTTGAGTTCACATGATATTAGCCGTGAACCACGAGTGATTTAAGACATTGGTCCCTTTACAACATTCAGTCAATGATCGGATAGAAATAGTTCAGGAAATTTAGATTGTGAATCGATTGACTTTTTTAAAACCCTGACACATGCCACTTAAATAAAAAGCTGAAAACTTGTTTGTATCTGGAGAGATTTCCTTAGCGCACATTTATTTTGTGTTGAAAACTTTCTTTTATTTCCTTTGGTGCTCAGGCTGACAACAGCCCCCCCCCCCCTTCAACACACCCTGGGTAAAGACCTCCATGACTTCATTAAGAACCCACTGACCTGGATACTGCAGTGTAACCCAGCCCCATATCATTTCCTGTTTTACACAATGTGAAGGATTTTATGTCCGTGCTGTCGTCAAACACAATGAAAATTTGAGAGTTTAAATAATAGGAAGAGTTCACAATAAACGACAGGAAATAAGACGTGTTCAATAAATACTTAGCGTATGTTACCGCTGTCAGAATTCAGTAATATAACACAGTAATATCCCTGATACTCATGTAGTGAGGTCAAAAGAAAAGACTTTCATTGTCTGTATGTAGTTTAGTTGGTGGGTAAGAAATTTCTACATCACATTATTGGACTTTAAGTCTAAAATATTTATTATGAATATGTCATGATATAAAGAAATGCCCATTCATTCTCGTTAATGTTGTTTATTTTTTGAAAGCAAAAAAGTGCCTTTGTTTTGTTTTTGCAGAGAGACGTTAGAGGGGAGGAGATTCTGCGTTCATGTTTTATTTTTAAGGATTCCTTCCTTCTCTACTCATGTGAAATAATCAAAATAAAAACAAAAGTAGAAGCTGGACGAGATCGAACAGCTTTCACTTACAAAGGGGAAGCTTAGCTAAAATTAGCACCGATGTCCACTGTATGTGACTGAAACACCTGCTGAGTCATGTGTAGCTTCTGTTCACTCAGTGCTGCATCAGTGTGTTGTGTTCACAGCTCTGCAGGAGGCGGACGGCTCCACGTTCTGATCAACAGGAAACGG